TGGACTTAAGTCTATTAAAATTAATGATTTCAGAATTAGTTCCAAAACGGAAAGAAAGGGGAATAAATGAATTAGGTACCATTTGGAAATGGATAGCAGGCAGCCCTGATCATGACGACTTTTTGAAAATACAAAATAAAGTAAATGAATTAACTGAAATAATAATAAACAATTTGTAATAAATTCCAAATTTTTCAAAGAAATTGAATTGCTATCAAATTCATTAAAGAATGTCATCTTCAATGAAGAAACGATACTGAGAAAGCATCGTTTAAAATTAATAACTTTTGACCTACTAAATTTAGTTGATACCATAACCCTCTTAAAAGTAAAAATTTTCAATACAAAAATTTTAAATAAAAACGAAATAGAGGACATTTATAAGCATGAAAAACATAATGTTGAACTGTCTGATCTGTTGGACATTGCAACGGTTAAAATAATTCGAAATGCAGATTTAATAATCATTTACATAAAATATCCTCAAATTAAAGATATTTGCAAGTTTTACCATGCAAGAGCCATCTCACAAAATGATGGAATGTTAGTTATAAGTGAAAAAGTTTGTGAATGTAAGGAGAAATACTATTTAATGAATAATTTTAAAAGTGAAACTTTTAACAATTACGCACAAATAAATTTAAAGAGTACCTGTTTCACCAATTTACTTAATGGCTTTAAAGCCAACTGCACTAAAAAAAGGGAAAAAAACAAAGAAATAGACATCATTCAGGATGGTGCCATATTAGTTTCAGGCAAAAATATCGTAGACAATACTACTTTGTTAGGATCGTATCTCCTTATATTCAACAACACAATTGTAATAAATAATATAACCCACATAAATGATAAGGGTAAAATTCTAAAATATATATCGCATCATAGATATAGCGATTTTGAATTAGTCGATTATATACAATCGAATGATAAGCAATTTTCTTTTGATAATGTTAATATTTTAAATCCCCTTATAACATTAGGTAATACGGCCTTACCATTAACAACATTATTTTTAATCATTTTGATATTGTTAATGTTATTTTACTTCGGCTATAAATTAACCAAATTTGTACTTATTAAATCAATAAGAATACCGTCAGAAGAAATAGTGGAAAGCAACATTCAAATACTGTCAGAAGAAATTAGAGCTCTATCAGAACTTCAAAATGTATCGGGACGAAACATTTAAGAATGGGGGGAGTTAACGTACCCAATTCCATTGAGCTCTTATACGAGTTGTAAACAATCTTTGGCTTTCCAAAACGAAAACAATTTCAATCTTGGGCCTCCGCCTAATTGATTTCTAAGATGTACAATCTCAAGCGCCCCCGCCGCAATCCCAATCTTTGACACTCGCCTAAATGGAAAACCAATGTTTGCCCACACCCGGCTTCTCATAAACAATCTCACTCCCGGCTTTCTGCAGATCCTGCACTTTAGGCCTTTTACAGTTCTCTCTTTGGATGACGAAATCCAATACTCGGGATGGCGAAATCAATTGAAATGTTTATAGAAAAATGATTCCCGAAAGGGATCAACGATGCAAAGATCAGAAAGTTCAAATCAGTCTTGATCCAGCAGCGACACCGCAAAGTCTAGCTAAATATTAAGATCGCGCAATCCCTTGGCCCGGAATTCCTTTGTGACCCTCTACTTAAATCTATATCAGTGAAGTTCGAAGTAAAATAAAAACTTTTTAAAAACACAATCCGCTACCGCAGTTGTTTAATTTGCATACAAACATGAAAACGTTTCTGACAAGATCGACCACCAGTAGAGCTCATAAAAAATTAACACAAATTAACGAAACGGAGCCCCAGAAGGGAAACGTAAACACCAAAGAGTGAGAAATTCGAGATTGCCGTCGGATTGAAGAGAGCGCGCGCCCAGGGGCGAGGGCAGTGCGATTATGGCTTTCGTTTCGTGGTTCGTGGAGCGGGGATTCTTTCGGTTCTTCGTTGAGCTTCGTGTCTCTGCTCTGGATTTAGCAATTACGATACGATACACATGAAGAAAAGAAAGAGGGCGATCTTCTTTTGGGAATACACTCCATTGCAAATGCTGAATATAATGAAAGAAATGCTACATATTTGATATATGATTTTATTTCTTGTATTAAATAAATACAAAGCCCACCGAGTGTGCGGGGGTTCAAAACGGGTTCAAAATAATACTCTTTGTCATTGTTTTTTTATAAAATAAAAATTCAGCGCAAAAACGGTACAAATGACAGCGCTAAAATCCGCGGAGTTGCGCAAGTTATCGCATTGTTGATATTACTCATTAGCATCTGCGAATGTTATGGAATGTGTATACTGTATACAACATTTGAGGCAGTCCCAGATCCCGATCGCAGCTGAGTGGCCCGCACAGACGTCAAGAGCAGTCAAGACCGGACAAAGACTGAAAGCCAGAGGCTGATGAAATGGAGGTTTTTAAAAATGCAAAGTGGAATTTGGGATCCCGATTCTGAAACTGATGTGCCTGGGTTTCCGGGATTGACACACTTTCGAGGAATGAGTACCATTATGTGGGTCATTTGACATGCAGATTGAAAACTCAATCGAACAATCGAAGCCACAAGACAAGACTCCCAGAAGAGCCTTATGACAATTAGCTATGCAAATGATATATGTATGGGTTTCGTGGCAAGTCAATCTTCAGTTCAACCCTCTGGAAACGTGCTTAATTTAAATAATATTTGCAATAATTACCCGCATGACTGGTGGGATTTCTTTTGGGCCTGTAATCCTTTAGGAAAACAAGAGTTAAGCAAACATCAAGATTACTATCATTGAGACGATGGCTACGGCTCATTGAGCAATTGGAAAATTAGATGAAAATCTTCTAGGGGATGGATCCCGGAGTCCCGGAGTCCCGAGTCCCGAATAGTCAAGAGGGCAATCATCGAACTAATTGACATTCGAGAGCCTCAATTATATTAAATGCGCGAATTACCCTCGATAATCGTAATCGTTTTCAGGGGCTAACCTCTCACCATATTTGGCCCAGACCCAAGACCTTAGACTCCACCCATTTTGGGCACTGACTCAGCCACAACCGAAAAAGGTCCAAAGCATAGCTCCGCCCCACACACACACACACACACACACTCAAGAGAACACAAAAAAAAAGAAACCGAAACAGAAACAGACCCAAAACGAAAATTTCAGCTTGAACCACTTTGGTCCCCCAATGGGCTAAGGCGAAAGAGAGAAACACACACATTTTTTGGCTTCCTCTTTGCCTTCTGGAGCATGAAATGCTGTTAGGAAATAAGCCACGCCTCTGCTGCGATTTATGCTGACGACGACGACGACGACGACGACGACGTGAACCCGGAAAAGCCAAGCCCTAGGCGGAGAAGCGAAGGCAGACACACACAAAAAAAAAAGAACTTCATATAAATGCGCGAAAGAGATGGAACCGGACCGAGCGAGCAGGCCAGACAACAAGTAGTTCTGCCAACAATAGACCTAGACGTAGAAGTAGAAGTACTCGGTGGCCGTAGACGATGACGATGACGCAGAGCCACCCCTAAGTGGTAGCGCTGCTCTATCCATCCCAGTGGAAGCACTTGAGACGCTCGCCGTAAGGTTTCGACTGTGTGTGTGTGCTTCTGGGTACAACATTACGGGATTGTGGGTGGAGTTTACATAGGAACTCATCCGTAGGCTAGTTATGGACAAAGATTTTGGTGACTTATGTAAAAGGATTTTATAGAGACCTCACCAACAGTTCCATGGGTTCCCGAAGAGACGTGTATGGGTACTTGTGCCAAATCAACTTTGAATTGGATGTTACTCTATATCTACATATATCTATAAAAGCGTATGGCAAACAGATCGAGGAAACTAAGAACTGGGAAAATCTCGATTGTATCATTATTATTTTAATACAATGTATAACATTATGAACTGACCGCAAGTTGATAAAAGTGTTCTTCCGTCTGGATTGCTACTGCAATCATTTCCATTATATACTATAAAAGAAGTCATTGAAAGAGTTTCAGCACGATAATTATTAATCATACGTAGTATACATAATCCTCGACGACACTTTCGTTTAATGATACTAATAAAGGAATTTCCAACGAAAAACGTACAGATCATATCCGAGTTGTTCCGCTCTAATGGGAATAAAGATTGCATGTGAAATACAAAAATGAGGACGGGACGAGCCCATTGTTGGATGTGCACCTTACATGGTATATGCATAACGTGAATTTATGAGAGATTGTCATAATATTTAGTCGGAAGTGTGTGGGGAGGCATTTGTAAAGAAAGATGCTGTCGTTGGGGGCTTGGAGGGCGGGGAGGGCTGGGAGGGCTCGTCGGGTAAGACAGATATCCCATGGATGTACTAGGCCCACTTCTTGCCACTTGCCACTTGCCCATATTTCACGTGTCACTCTCTCTCTCTCTCCCTCTGTGTCTGTCACACCGAAAGTACGAGAAATCCTCTTCGTACGTCTTTCATCATCGTCATTGCCTGACGATTTAATACAATTAATATGCTAACTGTACTTCTCGCCGAATACAGTTACAACAAAGGCAGCGACGTTGCCAACACGCATGGCAACAGGCGCGCAAGGTGGCCGCGCTGCCACCACTGCCACTGTCACTGTCAGTGCGGCCGCTGCTTCTGCTTCAGCTTCTGCTTTCGCCTATACCTATACCTCTGCCACGCCCACACTCAAGCGCCCTGGCAACAACAACAAATTACGGGTTTTTTTATTTTCGGTGAGATGAAAAAATACGAAAGAGACGATGTCAACAAAAATACCAAAACAAAAAAATTCGTACAGAGCACAAGACAGAGGGAGAGAGAGACAGAGGTAGAGAGAGAGAGAGAGGGAGAGAGAGCGAGCCTAAGGAAATGCGAGCAGAGCGAAATGAGAGCAGAACAGAACAAGCAGCGCAACCACCGCAGCGGAGAGAGAGAGCGCTGGTATAAATAGCATCGGGCAGCGCTCACCCCGCATTCAAAATCCAGCCAGCGAAGCGTGCGGACGTGAGGCGAAGACAAACAGTTGAATAAAGAAAGATACATGTAAAGAGCCAGAGCAGAGCCAAGAACAAAGTGAACGAACTCGAATCTGTGCTGTGGCGTGTGTGTGCGTAACAATAAGCAAAAGCTAAAGCAAAAGCAAAAGCAAAAGGCAACAAAGCATTTAGTTAATATTCAAAGAAGAGAAAGTCATTGAGTCATCAGTCGATTGCCCGCAATTGTGCAATTATAAAAGAGAGACGAGACAAAGAGCAATGGCAGTGGCCTTCTACATACCCGACCAGGCGACTCTGCTGCGCAAGGCGGCGCAACAGGAGCAGGAGCTGCTGCGCCTACGCGACTCCCAGTGGCGCTTCCTGGCCACCGTCGTCCTCGAGACCCTACGCCAGTTCATGGACAGCGCGGCCAGCCAGTGCCTGCCACGGTCCGGTGGCGGCCGCAAGTGCGGCAAGTACCGCAAGCCCTCGCAGTAAGCAGTAAGCGGAGCCGAAAGAGAGCCGTGGAGAGGAGCGCCAAAGCAGTAGCAGCAGCAGCAGCAGCAATAGCAACAGCAACAGCAAAGAGAAGAGAACTACAGTCCAGTCCAGAATTATAAGTACAAAGGAAAAACCCAGTCATGAATCAGCCACATTTCTGTCCAGGATATGCTTCAACCAGCCACCCAAGCCACCCATCGACCACCGCCCCAGGACTCCCCCGAAAATCTTTCTTTTTTTTTTTTTTAGTTTAATCATCAAAGCGATTGTGATAATGGTTTTGTTTCTACGAAAAAATTATACAACAAAAAATGTATGCAAAAAAAAAAACAACAAAAAATCCCTAAAAGAATATTTTCACAAAAACATTTTGTACGGAAAACAAAAAAATAGTTTCTCTAGCAATAATTTCCAGATTTTAAGCATATTTAAATTAATTCACAGACTCAACTCTCTATGTAATCTGAAATAGATTGTAAGATCTTTTGTAAGCGATTTTTTTTTCCGGAAGATTTTTTTCTATCTCAAGAGCAAAATACTGAATCGAATGTCGACGATGAGGGTTTGCCAGAAATTGTATCAATTTTTTGCCAAACATAAAAGTCAATAAAACAAACAATGAGAAAATTTAAACGAAAACACAGTCTGATATTTCATTTATTGATGGCGGTAATTTTTCAGCGCACAAAACGGAAACACATGACGGAGCGACATTGATGAACTCTCGGAAAGATTCAGGAACCAAGAGTCAACACGGCGGAACATTTGCCTTTTGAAGATGGTTTTGCCGTCGGATAATCGAGACATAAAATCAATCAATTGTTTTCTTTCCATTTCCGACGGGGTTTTCCTATCCAGATCTTGAACGAAATTTACACTCAAAGATAAAGATCCATAAAAATAAGAAAATTTTAAGGGCAAGTACTTGTATTTATTTTTGCCGACGGCTTTGATGGATTTTATGTTCTTTTAATTTCCGAATAAAAAAATAAATAAATAGAAAACAATAATTTGCATGGAGATGGACAATATTTTCCGACAGCAATTGTTCAATATTAAAATAGTAATTGTAATAATTGTCTACTTGTAATTTGGTATTGGATCAAAATCTGCAAATATAGAAGCGAATATTTATGCTCGGGGTAGACATGTAAAAATAAAGTAGGGCATTTATTAGCCCTGGTATGGTTATCCCCCTTTGAGGATATTTCCATCTAGACGAAGTTTTCCACTCGGGGAAAGTTTCAGCCACTCCCCGACTCCACGACCCACCGACAACGTTGTTGAACAAGCGGCAGTCAAACACGCAGGGAAAATTCAATTATGCAAAAAAGAAATGCTCGTACAAAAATATTTTCCAAGATTTTTGCGCTGCTGAAACTTTGTTGCAGAAGACGAGGGGGACTCCCCGGCGACCCCTTGATAATGTCAAAAAATTAGGTGCTAACAAAACAATTTGCATTTTTAAGTTAATTTTTGGCCAAAGTGCTCTGAGGCAGGCAGGCAAAAAAAAAACGGAAGAAAAAAAATCAATGTGCAATCCTAGAGGGTCTCGTCGAGGATATGGCGGCTGGGCTCCGCTCGACAAGGACTTTTAATTAAACTTTTGCACTTATGCAGCTGCCAAAACTGCAACCAGCACATCCTGCAGTTCAATTCACTTTGATTGCCCGAAAAAAGTTCATGAAAAGTTTCGCCGCGCTCGCGGAAAAAGAAATCAAAAATTTCACTTTGCCAAACAAAACTAATTAACGTTAAACAGATAAAAGTTGTGCCCAAAGGGGCGGGCCGTGGGGCACGTGGGGGCGTGGGGGCGTGGAGGTTGCAGCAGCATATGAAAAATAATTAACACAAGTTTATGATTATGTTCGAGTGGAAGTTGCGCCAAATGTCGAGCGATTTGTAAGCAGCCGAAGGAGCTGTAAAAATCACAGACAGAACACATTTAATCCCTCGCAACCGAATGAAGGGAATAGGGATCCATTTGGGCAAAAACTTCTTCTGGCCCGCTCAGCTGTTAATTAGTTCGGAAAGTGTTCTTCCCGGAGAGCGGGAGACCCGAACAGAGTTAAGTGAACTCGAATCAAAACAAAAGTTTATCCATAAATTTCCGGGAATTGTTTTCGCCTCAAAGAGCTATTATGGTATCCCTTTTTTTTCGATGTTTGTGTGCTGCCGGTGTCTTGGGCCCTAACCTTGACTGATCTCTATCTGTTCCAGGACCATACCTTCCACATAATTGTCTGGCATTTAGGACGATTCCGTCCATTCTCCTGTTCTTTTTTTTTCTAAATGAATTATTTCGATTAGCCCCGAACACAGGCCACAGGCCGAACGACAGACAGACAGACGGAACCCAAAAGATGTTTCTGCAAAAATTAACAAAGACCCGCAGACCCAAAAAGGCAAATCCCTAAACAAAAGGCAAAATATATTGAGCTGTGAGAGAGCATCGACTTGGGGCATACCCAGTGCTGAACAAGTGGACTATATCCCCGAATGATTACCATTCAAATATGTATACCCTGTGCTTCAGAATGGATACCCCTTGAAGAACCCAAAATATTGGTATTTCGTTTTTTTTGGAAGGAAGAATAAAATCAAATCGAATCAAAATCAGTCAACAACTAATGGCAGCCTAATGACATTAGATCGGCCTGTGTTCAGCAAAGTAGAAATGTTCCTGTAAGGGAATTATGAGTGCAAGGGTCCTGTCGTGGCCCGAGGATTAGCCGAAAGCAGGCGCGGGTGTCGTGTAATCAATTGGAAAACAGACCGAAGCTTCGCAAAGCCGTGCCCCGTCGCCGGCTATTATGACAGTTGTGCAACTGAAGGGAAATCTACGAGAGGAAATTGGATTAGTCGCTCAAAACTGATCAACTTGTGTAAGTTCTGTAACCTATGGAAAAACGCCCGCCCCAAAAATGTAATCAAAATAGAAGAAAAAAAAGAAATTGTGCTCTCAACAATAACATCATTTATAAGCCACGGCCGCGACAGCGGTGGCTCCACTCCAAAAACGAAACGAAGAGAAACATTTAAAAATATACTTTGATTGATGATATCTAGTCACAGTAACAGAAGGCACAGTCAAGAAGTCCAGACGAAGGACACGCACACGTCAGGAAACGGGGCGAAATGAAACGAGAAAAACGAGACCAGGGAAAATACATTAATTATTGAAATGTCATTAAAAGGAAAACCCAAACTGACATCCTCCAGATTCGCATGAATATTTAATAGGAAAAAAAAAAGAATAAACGGAAGAAAAGAAAATTATGACAAGACGATGCGTGACCGCCATTCGGTAGTCAGGATGTGCGTTGAAGGAACCTGAAGCAAATCACGCAAGATAATGCTGCTCCTGCTCCTGCTCCTGCTCGTGCTCGTGCTCCTGATGATGATGATGATGGAACACACTCATCATTCGCTGCGTATTAATTACAGGGTGGAAGTGGCTCTCAGGACATCCATCTGTTTATAGGAAGTCCCAGACCATTCATCAAAGTTGAGCGAACATTTTAATTAGTTCTTCTGCTGTTTGCCATTGAGGCCTGAAATCATGAAATCACGAGTTAATAGTTCTCATCGTCCTAGTTTAGTTATGGTAATGCCCTGCCACACCCCCATATACAAACAGTCCCCCCCACCACCACTCCCGCCATGCCTAGAATGCATTCAAATTTGCCAAAAGAATCTCGGAGACACATAACTGTCAAGAAAAAAAGACAACCCGTCGTGCCACAAATTTGTTTGCGAAAAACCAACTTCTCACCGAAGATCTGAAAAGGAAAGCCCTCCGGTGGCAGGAATTTTCGCGCCTTCATATGGAGATGGGCGATGAGCGACGGGCGTCAGAAACTATAAAATAAACAAACTTCCGTTGTGTGGCAGAGTCGGGCAGTCGGGGAGTCGGGGATCATCTCGGGATGATGTGATGGTTCCGATGCGAGCTGATGAGTTTGATGGGCTCGACATACGCTCTCTGGCCGGGGCGGGCCATTGATTGCATCATAAATAATGAATTTATGCTGACAGGCAGTCGTCAGAGGACCGCTCTGAGGCCTCTCGGCTGGTCCTACGCGGTGGTTGTTGGGGCATCCTTTTTCGTCAACTAATAAAATATGTTTTTATTGCAATCAACAGAGAGAGGGGGGGAGAGAGGGGCACACACACACACGCACCGCGTATAAAAATTAATGAGCCACGGAGGCGCGCACCCTTCGGAATCCGGCATCAGGATCAGAATCGGTATCCCAGAACCCAGAACCCAGATCCTTTTGCCAATGCAAAATACATTTCCATTTTTGCGCATTTTCCTGTTTGCATTCTGCCTCTCCCGCTGCCCCCCCCTGCCCCTGTCCCTGTCCCTGTTGTTGTTTCGTCGCATAAAAGTTAATGTTTGCCAAACGAAATGTTAATAATATTCATAAATATGTCAGCTAATAAAAATCTGCGGTTTGATTGTCACCTTTATGAGACGACTGTCACCTGGAACCTGGTCCGGGCTTTTCCAATTTTTTTTTTGCATGCACTTCCTTGGGGGTTTTCTTCGGCGGGGCTTTATGTAGGTGCTAATTGCGAGACATTGTCCACTGAAGATGCTGGTTATTTGTAGTTCTATATATCAAGGGATTGGCAGGGTTCTGTGGATTACAGATATGATAGGCCTGAGATCACTAAGAACTCTCTTCAGACAAGAAACTATGTTTTCCGACCTGCAACTGTGTTGCACAACCGCCAGCTGTCGTCGCAACTAAAACGGGAAAAGCTGGGAAAACGATGAGCCCTCCAACATCTCAGCCTCCCATCTTCAGGACGCGACGGCGAGTACTGTTTGCCAACGTTTCCCCGGGGATGATATTTTTACGATATTAAATGCTGAGATTTTTATAGATTTATATCCACAATTCGACGTCGTTTCTTGCTTTTTATTGAAATAGGAAACTTTCTGCATATTGCATGCATCAAATGCTACGGCGGCGGCAGCAACAACAGCAACTTGCCACATCTCTTCTGGGAATCTCCTCGCTGGCCATTTTTTATGACAAAGAATGAAATGAGACGAAATTATTGACG